AGAGAGAGAGAGAGAGAGAGAGAGAGAGAGAGAGAGAGAGAGCGCAAGCGCGAGCGAGCGACCAGGATTAAACCCAAGGCTTCCTGCATTCAAGGCAACAATTATAACATTGAGTTAAATGTCAGCCCCTTTGAGGTAGGGCTCTTTTGAAGTAGCACCCTCAATCATTACCTGGTATCACAGGCCTGTTCTTGGAGCAGCTACACTTACATTTAGTCTTGCATCGATGAAGAACACTTCAGTTTCACTGTATTAATGGGATTATAGTCAGTACTTGGAACAGTTACAGTAAAATGTGTCACACTTGAAAAGAAAATGAAGGCATTACATATATAAAGTGAAACGCGTGAAAGTTCTAAGAAAGGCCCAAGAACTGATAGGGCACAACTAAATTTCATTACATTGATTTATATGAGGGAAAAATAGAACTTTATTTTTTTAGACAGGGTCTCATGTAGCCCAGGCTGACCTTGAACTTCTGACCTTCTGGCTTCCATCTCTCAGGTGCTAGGATTACTGGTGTGTCTATCATACCTGGCGGAGACTTCTAATTTAAAGTTTTCTTTTTAGTTTTTGTAGAGCAGGCTATAAAGTGAGATATGGCCTTAAAAGGAAAAAAAGAAAAAAAATGTGCCCAGATTTTAAAGTTTAAATTCCTAGGCTGGTCAGGCCAACTTCCCAGGGGAACCTCATCCCTACTGCCAGCAGCCCAAATCCTCCTGGCTTCTCTATAAAAACCTAGAATTTGGGGCATGCTAGGCAAGCTGCCATCCTCCAACCTATATCCTCAAACCTGAAATATTTGGAATGTAGTGAAAAATCTCCAGATTGGGACTGGAGAGATGGCTTGGAGGTTAAAAAAAATGCTTGCTGCTATTACAGAGGACTCAAGTTCGGTTCCAGCACCTAGTCAAACGACTCAAAACCACCTGCAATTCCAGGTCCCGAGGATCCACTGTCCTCTGGCCTCTAGGGGTACCTGAATACGTGTGGCATACACAGACACTTCAAATAAATATAAACAAAATTAAGTCTTGCTGCTGTTGTTTTTCCGTTCTCACCATGTATCTGTGGCTGACCTGGGATCCACTATGTAGACCAGGCTGGTCTCAAACTCGGAGAGCCACTTGCCTGCCTTTGCCTCTCCCGTGCTGGAATAAAAGGTGTGTGCCACCACATCCGATGTAAAAAAACCAGATATTACAAAAACGCAATAATGTCTCCTAATAAAAGAAGAAAAAAATCTTCAAATTACTCCAAAGAACCTCACCTTAACCTCAGGAATCCAGAGAATGGGACCGCACGGGACCGCCTAGACACACCGGTCCCGCCCACCCTGCGAGCTCCGACTCAAGCGCATGCGTAGTCGTGCAGGGAACCCTAGAGCTCCGGAACTCTGAGAGCTGATTCAGGTTTTCGCGGTGTCGGTCCGTCAAGGAGCGCTTCCGACACTAGCGCTACCAGCACTATGAGGTTGTGGCCGCAGGCATGGGGTGCCGTCCGGACCGCCTGGCGCGAGTGTTTCCCTCTGCAAGGTCACGACGTAGCACGCTGGTTCCCCGGCCACATGGCCAAGGGTGAGGCCAGCGGGAGGCGCGGGCGGCCAGGACGCTGGCTCTGGAGGCTTCTTTGGTCGCCTTCCTGGCCTCGGGTTGGAGAGTTGTGTTTATATTTTGAATCGCACTGAGTGGTCTGCGAAGGCACATGCAAGCCGTTACACCTGAGCAATGTCTGAGTTTAGAGGCCACAACCTGGCCCCAGACAGACACCTGACATAGTGCGTCCCTGGGCTGCTGGTTGCTGTGGTCTTGCTACCGCTGCCATGCGAGGTGGTGGTGTGGCAGGAAGGCGCCAGGAGTGTGACCAGGCGGGTGGCTGTTGTGGGGCGGAGCCTCTATGTTTTTTATGTGCTGAGGTCATTAAGTCAGCAAAGTATCAAGGGCCCCCAGATCAATACCCAAGACCCTTATATGTGAAGTGTTCTGCCCAGAGCTACCTAGGGCACCCCAAGGCTCAGTATGCTGCCTCCTTTAGCTCTGTGTGCCCTGATGGGCTCTCAGATGTATTTCCTTAGGAACACTTAAATCTGCTCCCTTGGGCTATTTCCTTAGTGACCTTCTACCTTCCAGGACTAAAGAAGATGCAGAGCAGTCTGAAGCTGGTGGATTGTGTTATCGAGGTTCATGATGCTCGGATATCCTTTCATGCAGCAGGAGAGCACTTCTGCAAGGCTGCAGAGGCAGCAGGAAGATTTCCTGCTCTTCATCCATCTCCTTTGGGCAATCTAGTCTGTTCTGCCTCTGGTCCATTCATATGTCTATAGCTGCCAACAGCGTCTTTTCTAATTACTGACACCTAAAGGGGTGCTTTCTGACTCTCATTACACATCAGAATTACTGGGAGGCTTTTACATCAATCACTAGGCCCCCTTTTAAATCAGAATCCCTGGGATGGGGTCTAGGCTGTGTATTTTTGTTTTTAAGTCCCCATTTGATACATTATTTGTCTCAGCCACTGTCTGGTTTACTTTGATATTTTTAGGAATAAATTATGAAACCTGAGATTAAATGGTCCTGCCAACCCGGGCTTTTCTCCTGTCCTTAAGTGAAGAATTGGCAAATCATTATCATGTCCATTGACACTTGCTTCTTGGACCATTTTGTTGCATTTAAGCTGTGTTTAGTTTCTGTGATGCAGTCTTTGGCATGCGAGTTCTTCCTCGTCCTATTTACTCAGCCTGAGAAGAGCACGGGGATGGCAGACCAAGAGGCCCAGGCCCTTGGAACAGCTGGTGGTGGGTGTGAGGCCCTGCTGCCACTGGTGGGAGTCTATGGAAATAGTAATGGAGTATGAGGGACTATTTCAGCTTTCAGAGTTGGAACTTTAGCAATAATACATCTAGTGTATTTGTTTTAGGCTATAAATATCTACTAATTCACCTAATATCACATACTGCCAGATGTGACTATAATAATAATAATAATTATTATTATTTTGAGACAGGGTCTTACATTATAGTCTTGACTGGCCTGGACTCACTATGTAGACCAGGATGGCCTGGAACTCACATAGAGCCGCTTGCTGGGATTAAAGGTGTGCACTTCCATTCCTAGCTATATTTGATTATTAAAAAAGTAAAACATGGTTATTTTTCAGCATAGATAATGAGAAGACCGTTCTCCTGTAGTCTCTGGAACATTCAGCTGTATCTAGGAGGTGGCAGCAGGTCTGTGCTGCACAGTGGTTTCTGTAGCATTTTAGGAGAGGAGCCTGGAGACTTGGGTTTATGAGTGGATTGGTCAGCCATGAGAGAAGGACTGTCCGGGTGGAGATAGCAGCTTACCCAGGTGCCCAAATGGGGAAGGTGGAGGCCTTGGGACTCTTGTACTAGACCCTACTGGGAGGGCTGAAGGGGCAGCCTATGTTAATGTCACATGATGTAGCCCCATATCAGCTGGGGTAGCTGAGGATAGCTGGAAGAAGTGGCATCTTCAGAAGCCAGGATGGGTGGTGTTCAAGGTAATTCAGTTAGGACTTCACTGGAATCACATTTTTCTAAGTGTTTAGGTCATTTTATTTTAAATTTAAATTCCTTGGCCTCTTTAGAGTTTACACTGGCTTTTCTTTTTTTCAAATTATTCATTCATTCATTCATCCATCCAT